TTTTTTTTTTTTGCGCAATACTTGATATGAATCAAGGCTTATCCCCAAATTTGATCTCAAGTAATCAAGCCTTACAAAAAACTTGCTGAACTAAGACGTGATTTTGGTTTTTTTTTTCCCGAGAACACAACAAATCTAAACAAGCACAATTGAACAATTAGAACAAGAGCCTGCCAACAAACTGATTTGAAGAATCGAACACGGGCCTGACGAGAAGAATGATCAGATCGACCAGACAAAAAATAAATATAAAATATCAAATTTATCGGAAAATAAAAAATTTACGATCGAACCTGTCTCTGATACCATGATACGAAAGAGACGATAGAAATTGTGGAAAAGATCATCTCAATTGGATGATTCAATATTCTATTAACCATGAATATATATACACAAAATTAGGGCTACAGTTACCAAAAGAGAACCTAAGACTAATATAGTAATTACACAAATATACATAATAACAAGTCCTTAGTAGGTAGGTTGCGAGGTCGTTCACGTGACCCAATGACCTAAATGTCGTATGGTAAGAGGGGACATAATTCTTTAAAGATGAAATGTGTATCTTGCTAAGGAATCTGGGATTCTTGAGATGTGATAAGCTAAAAAAGTAGATATGGTTAGATCTATTTTCTAGTCAGGACTCTACTTGAGTATCAAGACACCCTGATCAGATTTTATTTTACATTTATTAACACATATTTACGCACTTAAGCATATAAATTTTCCCGTTTATTCTCACGAGCAAAGTACTAACAGGAGCATCAAAGTTTTCTCGCCGAGACCACTCACCGGCGTATTGCAGGTCACTGGAGCTCAACGTAGAAGGACACTTTTGGTGCTGTCGGTTTAACCCGGTTTAGAGAGCTAATATCAGGAATCCCTTCAACAGTAGTGTTCTGTTTTCCTGTCCCATCCACCTTTGCTCTTTCAGTGTGATCCTCACTTCCTGTTAGTTGAATTTATGCTCTTTAAGATCTTTATACCACTGTGGATAATCATTAAGTTGAAAATAGCCCTGGATTTCTTGCCCATTATGTCCACAATGCTCACAGAATACTTTAGCTCATTCCTCTTTATATAATCTGACTTATCCTCTTCCCGTGCCTGAGCTATTAAGATTTTGTCCTCTTCCAAATTAATCTCTTCCATAGGTAACACTAGAGCCTACTCCTTTGCCAAAATTTCCTTTCACTATCAGAGCTGAACTTTCCATTTCACCAGCATAGTTAAGTTAGTTTTTAGCTTTTCCACTTTGAGAATCATTGAATAAGCTCGGTGAGAAATTCTATGGAGTCATCGGATGACTCCCTTATGGATCCATCAGCAAAATATGGTTCTTAACCGGCTAAAAAACATCATTTAAGCCCATACAAAACTGCATAAGTTTGATCTCAATGTCATTTGCACAATAAGCCTTCCCGGCTCCACAAGTACAGTCCGTTAAAGAAATCAAACACGCATACTCATCCCATAGGCATTTTAGCTTTGTATGATAAACTGTAACAACAAACTTTCCTTGAGAAAAGTTAGAAATCTCCTTTTGTAATTGCTATCTCAACGGTACATTGCTTTCACATAACATTCGGCTAACACATCCATAAGTCGTTTAGTTGTTTTAACACATATGAATGCATCGACAATGTGTTTGAAATCAAATTTAGTATCCAGGAGATTACCATGAGTTCGACTTTCTGATACTGCTCATACTCCTTCGCATCAGCATCCGGTATTTCGATTGTTCCAAAAATAATTTCGAGCTTCGATTTCGCACGAATCGCCAGTTTCATCGCTCGACATATCTATCGTGGAAAAAGGTGATAAAAGTGCTGCTCGAATCAGGTTCAAGATGTACACTTGGATTGAATCAATGGAGGTAGACAAGGGAATATCCCTGGATAAAGAGGCTTGTCTTGGCAAATCCCAAATTGTAAACGAGGCCTTGGTCGACGATATTCATACGATCCTAGTTTATTTAGTTAAATTTCGTACACAATCAACGCGTGTGACACAAAATTAGAGTTTTTCCCAGTTAAAGAGCTGTGAGAATTTAAGAAATGAGAGCTTCCAAATGTCATTACAAAAATTCAAATTTTCCGCCAACAAAAGCTGCGAGAGTTCGAAGAAATGAGAACTTTCATCAAAAGTATTGGACCAATGTGCAGATTGATATTAACGCAAGGCTACTACTGTCTACGACTGCGCCCCATGACAAGCGAAACATTAATAAGAAACCACTTCACTTTCCATGCTAAGTAAACTTTAAAAGAACTTCATCAATAGTATCAAAGAAGAAGATACAGCAAAAAACATGGCTTTAGAATGCGACCTTGAGTTAAGGTCAATAAAACCCCATAAACATCAACTACTACTATTACATATGCACCTCATTAAATGATGTTCGAAATAGGTGCCGAATTAGCACCCCTCTCCCAAGAATCAAAACAATCGTAATAAGACAACAACAAATATCGTAACAAACCTAAGTCCGCTTTAGTATGAATGAATATCTCAAATCCTCATAGGAAGTGTCATGATAATAAGCTAGTAGCTAGTTTCACAGGGGTCTTGTGCGCCTCCCACTCGCCCGCCCGCAAAGAAGTGCATTCTTTGGGATGGGAAACTCGTCTCTCAACGAGGTTGAGGTTGTGTAGACCCTCATATAAGTTTGCTGGCCCAAATACTGGCGGGCCCAATACTCGGACCTCAAGTTCCACATGCCCACGTTGTCGAGTGGTATGTAAATGGCTGTCCAAGAATTGGGGTAAACCTACATTATATTTACCAAAAGAAAAGGGTCACTTTGTTTGAAATTCAAGAACTTCTCATAATTTTTTCTTAAAAAACAAAATAACTGCAATTAACGCAAGCAAATCTAACCTGAACCGTGCAGCGAGAGACAGCATCACGAAGATTGTACTCGTTCCTACTTGCTTGGGTCCACTGCCCCCCATCCATTCTGATTTAGTAAACAAAAATTTAAAAGGCATTAGCTACTAAATACCCAAAAAAAAAAAGGCTTATTAAAAAGTGTGTGGAATTATTATGAACTCTTATATGAATGCATTCTCACCCTACAACAAAGAAGGAATATCCACTGAG